ACAGGAAAGTATGACAACACATCTCACCATACAGTGTTGATAAAGACAAATAATTGCAAAAAAGAAACAAACAAATTCTGGAACTGGAAAGTAAAAAAGATGAAATGAAAAAATTCCCTACAAGAGTTCAGAGAGATTTGAGCTGAGAGAGGAAAAAAGCATTGAACTTGAGGACAAGCTTGATGAGATAATCAGCTCTAGAAAAGAAAAAAAAAAAAACCAGAAAGAAGAAAAGTAAACAGAGACTCTGATACGTATAAATACCATGTAGGGTACGTGAATTTATAAGGTAGTGAAGAGTCCCATAAGCAGGGGTAATGAAAAAAGCAGAAAGATTGTTTTAAGAAATAATAGCTTTACATTCCAAACTTGATGAAAACCATTTAAGGCCATAACTATTATTATTATTGTTACATTATAATAGTAGACATCATATTTGTCAAAACCCATAAAATATACAACGCCATGAGTGGAACATAATCTAAACTGAAAACAGTGGGCAATAAGGAAGTGCTGAGGTAGGTTCGTCCATTGTTTACCATTGGCCACAGTGGTACAGGATGTCAATGGTGAGGGAAACTACATTTGAAGGAAGTAGGGAATGAGAATTCTGCACTTTTTGCCCAATTTTGTTGTGAACCTAACACCACTCAAAAAAATCAAGCTTTAACACAAAAAAGTTCTCTAGAAAATGTTACTCATTTTGTACTAAAAAATTGAAATCAACAGGTATATATCACCCATATTGAATCTACCAAGATCTAAGTACAGGGACCAATCTGGCAGTTATAAGCAAATCATAAATACTACCACTAAAATATTCATTTTGATTGTGGACTCAGAGCCACAGCTGATAAACAAATGTGGAAATGAGAAATTGAAAACAAAATGATACTGCTGCTGAACTAGAAGTTTCACAACTCTGTTTAATGGCACCACTTAATTTTGCTTCTGAATAGGTCCCATGGAAGACTGCATTGCATGCCACCCAGTGAAGCAGTCTACATGTTCTCCTTAAGTCACTTTGCAGTGTTATTCCATCCCAAACATTTTAAAGAATTTTTAACATTCCCAGGAGATGGCCACAGGTCTGGTTTGTTCATGAATTTAGTTGTCCAAGACATTTTTACAACACTGTCATCTAAAAATGTTTCTCTTTAAAAATATGATTAAAACACAATTATTTAAAATACAGTCTTAAGTATAACAATAATACATATACAGGTAACCTTGCTTGTGAAAGATCAGCTTGAAAAACAAAAGCATACAAGTTTTTTGTTTGATTCTTATAAAGAAACTTACCTAAACTTGTAAGGAGTACGAATAAGCACTATTGTTCTTATTAGCACATTGCATACCCCATTAAAATGCCTTTTACTGAATGTAGCAAATCAACAGAAGGCAAATATGTTTGAAACATCTTCATATAAATAAATTTTGAAACATGTATGGGTAAAGAAAGACTGGAGTATGTTACTGGATAATCTGAAGGTTTCATTTTTAAAAAGAGCAACTTAAGTTTTTGAAAACATAAATACTGCATTAAGGTCTACTTAAATTTTATAGCTTTGTACAAAAGTAACAATCAGTACAAGATCAGAAGTTAATAAACATAATTCATACAGTGAAGACCTGATTTTACAACATTTTTAATCACCTTAGTAAATTTTTAGGGGAAGACTTCTAAGTGGAAGGTAATATAAAACACCTCATTTATCTATAAAAACTTTTTTAAACTATAAAAGGGAAAAAGCATAACTGCATTTCTAACTGGCAGTGAAGCTTCCTGGCTAAAACATGCTGCGCATAACATGTGTCTCAATACAAGACAGTGAATGAACAGGAATGAGAAAATAGGTATGAAAAATAAAAACTGGGCATGGTGGCATATACCTATGATGTCAGCACTTGAGAGTCTGAGGCAGGAAGATCATGGGGAGGAAGGAAAAAGAAGAGGAGAACAAAGGAAAGTTGAGGACAGTTAAAAAAAAAAGGAAAGAAAAAGAGAAAGTCACCTAATGATGGGATGATTAGGAGAAATCAGGGTAAACCCAATGACTAAGAGAAAAACTGGTGGCTACTAATTAGGACTTGCTAAAAAAAAATGAAAACTTCCAAGTCATTGGTAAGTGTAAGTATACATTCTAGCAGTAACAATCAGTATTATGAACAGCAAAAATACTCAGATCTAAACAGTAAGTATGTCAGATGAACTATAAGCAACAGGAACATTCCCTGCTAACCAGCTACTCTAAAGCACCGTGCAAACCAATTAAGCAGTTTCTGAGTAACAAACCCTCCACTTAAACAAAATATTTAAACAGGAACAAAACATTTGAAATATTCTAGAAATGCTGCATATTAAAACCTTGTCTCCTGCAGAAGGAACTGGTGCATTCATTATATACACTGTGTCACCATCTCATTCAAATGTGCCATGTTTTCCTTGCCTTACTCATTCAACAAGGAACAGAAGCATTATCCCCTAGATACTCATCTTGTCTGTCCAAGCTTAGCGATTTCCTCTCAAATTATTTAGCTACTGGAACTCTGCCCTGACTGCACATAGGATTGTCCTTCCTTGTTTTAAGACCCCATTTTCTTACTTGTATGACACCAGCAGATTTATGATAGGAAATGTCTCAGGTTAACTGAATTGTCAAGTCTTAGCAGGTAAGATGAAGTAGTCATTAGAGAAAGAGCTGCCTTCTGCTGTGCTCCTCAGAAACTGGTGAAATTATAATTCCTATGTATGTATATGTATATACATATCAGTTCTAGAATAATTTGTTGAAGCATATGAAACATTCAAATAATTATATAGTGATAAAATTTTATAAAAATACCCATCATGTTTGTTGCTAACAATGTCATATATATGGCCAATACTTCAGTGGAAAATTTCCTATTTTTTTAAATGACTATGTAGTAACTCACAATAGGTCTCCATGGTTCAGTAGCCTCTGTGGGTAATTCCAATGACACCAATGGCTGTACAGATTGTATATATACAATCAACAAAAGAAAACTCTACATGCTGTGATTCAACTCCAAGTGAATAAATTCTAAAATAGCTCTAGGGAACTAAAAATATCTTTTATTTTCAAAGCAGAGAATACATGCCTAACACAGTGCCACCATACATATATTAGCAACAGGTCCATGGAAGGCACTAGATGTAGGAAGACAAATGACATCTGATTCCTAACTGGAAGGAACCTAAAGATTCACAACGGAAAGACTCATTTAAACAAATGAATATCACAAAATAAATTACCTCATACTTTATAAACCCAGTGCTGTACGAACACAGAAAAATAAGTATGAATGTTGTCATTTTTATCTTATCATATAAATACAAATGGGAAGCTCAAACAAATGAAATGGGAAAATGTTGATCAAAAAATGAAACTATTTTTATAAAAGCTGATGACAATGATAGAAATGGCTCTGACATTCTTGACATTACATGACATATTCTCCATATAATGTAAAGTCATAGGGAAAAATGTAGCATCCAATGTCAGAAGCATTCTAACTGGGGTTATATAAAATATATACAAACACAAAGAAAATTTGACATAACAGATGGAATATAAAAATGGGTCAGACTGACTATCTCAAGTGAAGTGCTGTATGACATAACTTTCAGAGTGTTTCTTCATTTTTATGACATTTAGAGAATTTCAATGAATACTTGTCTTTACTAATTAAATCAATGCTAGCGATCACCAATTACTAGAAAAATCTTTCTATCTTCATCAAAAATGACTAAGATATTAGAAAGAAGATTAGTCAAAGTGCTCTATATTACTGTCTTACCATCATTCTTTTTATTTAAAAAGATTAATCTTTCCCATCAATTTTAGTTGATATGATTATTTTTGAAAAATAAGATAAAATGGCAGACTCCTTAGATATAATAAGAGAACACTTTTATTTAAAAAGTTTCAGAACTGAGGTCAAAATAACACTCGGCAGAATACTTGCTAATCTCCACAAGAAAATTCTCTCTCAAACATATTGACATTTTATGATTACCTTATCCATGTAAGTCTGATATACTGTGCCTCCAGATAGGATAAAATACTGAGCAGAGCAATACTTGTGAAGTTTAAGACTACTCCGTAGTCTTCGAGGCATGGTTACATGGTGACGCATGCCTGTAATTCACAGAGGCAAGAGGATCTCAAGTTCAAGGTCAAGGTCAGCCTGGGCTACCTAGCTATACACTGTACCAAAAAACTCCTTAGTCTGAATAGTTTAAAGCTTCTCTAGACAAAACTAGTCAATTAAATGGCAAGCCAGAGAAAAACCATAATCATATTGAAAAAAATCAGACAAATCCAGGACTTCAATAAGACAGATGTTCAAGACATTGCAAAAAAATGAACAGGTGCAAGTTATATGTTGTATTAAATGACTTTGGAGCTGAACATACAGCTCTGTGGTAGAGCACGTGTGAGCATGCTCAAAAAAAGAAAAAGGAATTCAAGAAGCAAACCCTAAATAGAACTTTGTCTGCCATAGGTTCACAACACATCTTTGGAAAATATTGAATTATGGATTGGATATTGTAAAATATAAAGGGCTACTTTCCTTAGCTACAATATAATTTTCTTTATGCAGGAAAAGTTAAAAGAAATGGGATGAAATGTTACACTGTATCTACTATATTTACATGTTTTGGGAACACACACCTATGGTCCCCAGCTGGGGTTTGTGCACTATGAAAACTTCTTTTTGGTTTTCTGTTTGTTTGGGGTTTTACTTTTTTGAAACAGGATCTTACTATATTGCCAAGGCTGTTGATGAACTCAAGATCATCCTGCTTCAGCCTCCCAAATGATCGGATTATAGAATGCATCACCACATGGAGCATTCTATATATATACTGACACATCAAGAAAATAACACTCCACATTTCATACTTTCCATCTCCAAAGTACTTCAATGGAAAACTCATGAGATAAACAGCAAAACAAAACCAAAGCCCTTACCACTGGCATTAAAAGCCATACAGCACACTGGCTTCTCATGGGCAGGGAAGTGGGCCACGATGCCATCACTGTCAGAGTCCTCGCTCACCAGCACCTTCAAAAAGACAGACAGAATCAGTATTTCTCACCAACAGACTGAAGGCCAGGCTTCAATATGTCTCACCAAATAACATGCTTCCAGCATATTAGAAGATTATTATTGTCAATACAAGTGGTAATTCTATGCTAGCAAGCAGGAGAAGAAATACTATGTCATTAGCAGACAGTAGTATAAATGCTAAAAACAGTCCACTGACTTGACAGTACAAGACAGACACAATTATTTCTTCATTATAGTTTAAGAGAATAAAAGCAAAACTCAACTATTATTCAATTCCATCCACAATGCAATCAGATGCTTTTGTATTGAAGGAGAGAAATACAGTTCTTATGGTGTAACAGCCTGAAGAAAATCACAAATTTTTACCACTAAGAATACTGAAAAAATATAACATAAACTCAAACAGAATTAGAAAGGAGTTATTATCCAATAAAAATTTTATCAGAAAGTACAAAAGTTGTAGCCAAGTGCAGTAGCTCAAGCCTGTAATCCCAGTTACTCTGGAGACATAGATCAGGAGGTATGGTGGTTCATGCCTGTGATTCTAGCTATTTGGAAGGCAAAGGTAAGAGGATCTCTGTGTTGGGTATTATCAAGATCGAGCCTCACAAACTATTTGCTGGGGTTAGTCTTAAACTGTGATCTTCTGGCTCTCTTTCTAACAAATAGTGAGGATTACATGCATGAGCCCACAACTACAACTTACTGTAAGTGTACAGTATTTCAAAAATTGTAAAATATATTCCAAGCTACTGAGTTTCTTGGATTTTGAAAGTTGAAACAAGTTCACTGTAGCTTTTAATGTGTCTTTCTAAGATAATTATCACTGAGTATTCAATGTGATGGTAAGGCACATTAATTTTAGTCTATAGCAACAATGGCCAGGGGCTCACACCTGTAATCCTAGCTACTAAGGAGGCTGAGGTCAGGAGGACTAAGGTTTGAGGTTAGCCAAGGCAAAAAAAAGTTTACAACAGCCTATCTCAATAGCTGGGAGCAGTGGTACACACCTGCCATTCCGAGCTATACAGGAGGCTGAGATTGCGAGAAGCATGGTTCCAGGATAACACAGGCAAGAAAGGTTGCCAGATCTCAACTCAACGGAAAAAACCTGGATGTGGTGGCATGGGCCTATCGCCCGGCACACGGCAGGAAGCTTAAAACAGGAAGATTGTAGTCCAGGCTGGCCTGGGCAATAAATGAGACTGCAAAAAGGATCAAAAAGGCCAAGAGGTGTGGCTCAAGTAGTAAAACCTCCAAGCTAGCAAGCCCAAAGGCCTGAGTTGAAACCTGGGTACCAACATTAATTCATTCACTCATTCATTCAACTACTAGACTATATTCAACACCACAAAGCACTTTATTAATTCAGGGAAGGTAAGCCGTCATCCTATGAACAAAGCACCTCAGAAGCCATTAGGTTATTGTAAACTCTGAGAACAAGTGTTCTCAGAGCAAGAAATAATTCATGTTTATGGCTCCATTCTGAGGTATTTTTTTTCAATTAAAGATTTTTGCCATGCTGCTAACTTCATTTACATATATGTGTAAAAGGCAAATTATACCACTTAACTTTTCCAAGTCAAGAAATGCTTTTAAATAAAACATGAAAGTAACACAGATGAAAATGGACACAAAGTCAATTCAATCCATTCTTCCTTAATGCAGTTACCACAACCGATTCCATCCCCATAAAATCAAATAAATCAATACAGCAACAGAAAGGTGGTGATCAGATTTTATATACTACCACAGTCCACAAAGAACATGAAAATATCTGTATTAAAGTCTCAATGGATTTACACACCAAAAGAAATACAGTTTCACACACACACACACACACACACGGAATAACACTGCAGCTATTGCTAAGCACCAATGGCATGGAGTAAATGTGATCTATGACACTGACTACTACAGTCTCTCTCTTTCCTTCTCCTCCTACCTCTCTCTCTCTGCAGTACTAGGGATCTGAACCCTTTGTTCCTACTACACAAGTGCTCTACCACATGGGCTATGACCCTAGCTCTTTTTGCTTGGGTTTTCAGATAAGGTCTCATGGTATTTTGCATCAGCCAGCCATGGATGGCCACCCTCCTACCATGGCTCCCATGTAGCTGTATATAGGCATGAGCCAACATTCCCAGCAAAACACAAAATTTTTCAGGTTGAACATTTGAGACTTTAAATTTTTAAAAGCTAATATTAGACTCATCCTAATGAATATCTCTATTTGTTTAAGTGTTTTCAATGCACTTATCACAGAAAACAAACTTTTGTTAAGTCTACCATCTATAATCTATCTGGATACTGAAAAACCAAAAACTCCTTTTCTTTTTATTCTTTTTAAGCTAAAGTAGGGTCACGCTAAATTTCCCAGGCTGGGATCAAGCAATCCTCCCGTCTCAACTCCCTAAATAGGAGACTATAGGCATGTATCCCCACACCAAGTTGCCTTCTTCCCTTTCTTGTGCTCTCTCTCAATGGGACTGGGGTTTGAACTCAGGCTTCATGCACCAGCTTCCTTTCTTTCTTTTTTAAGACATAAAAAGGTAATGAAGAACAGTAAGAAAAAAACTAAGTCACATTTGAAAACATATGACCTAATAGTATACTGCAGGTAATTATTTTCTTAATTTTTCTTTTTATATTTCCCTATACTTCACTGGAATACATATATAAGTTACACCTTAATTTAATTTAAAATATTATAATAAATTTTTCTACTTTATATGACCACAAATCTGTCAACAAATGCTAGATCTTCAACAAAATTATGCTCCTAGACAATGCTGAGGAAGGCTGTTATTACCTAATAAATGTGGGTGGCCTTGTAGAAGAATTAAGAAACAAAAAGCAAAAGAAAAATTTTACATTAACACTCTCCTAACACTAAAGGTTTATATATACAGAACACTGGCATGTGTCAATCTACATCAGCTAATACACACACATGCACACACATTCACAGTCATTATACTCAACTGAAAACGTTGCTTGCACTTCATTTTAAAAGGTTCAAGGGGGAGAGGGATGGGGGAGGGGGGAGAAAGAGGAGGCAGGGGGAGAAATGACCCAAACATTGTACGCACATATGAATAAAAGAAATTTAAAAAAATAAATAAAAAAGTTCAAGCCTATTATGTATTTGTTTAGCACAAAGATGGATGAGACTAAAAATTGCTATTTAGATTTTTAAATAAAAAAAAAACAGCCATGTTTAATAACCTAAAATGAGCGAGATTTTTAGCTTTAATTGCACCAAAGTCCACTTTTCCTTTAAGTGCCATTTGATCTCGTGGCCTTTCTACAGGAAACAGCACACAAGATGCTGCCACGTGTAATATTTCATCAAGATGTTGGCCCACGTAATGGAAGCACTCTCCCACAAGAACATGCAACATTAAAGGTTAATACTTTAAAGACCTACACACGTTGTAAGCAACTTGTTCTGAAAGCAAAATTAAACATGTATTTTACACTAAAAGTATGTTTCACACGTGCTCTCCAATTTTATTCCAGATTTATAGATTTGCTATAAAAACGATCATAAACAACTAGAATAAAAAATTATCTTCATTTGAAAAATATATTTAAAAAATTAAAGACTGGGGACAAAGGAATGAGAACGATGTTCCAAAAACATCTTCCAAACATGATTAAGATGCAATGATGAAATATTTTCCATGTTTATAATCACCACTTCTAAATGTTTCTGAACATAGATTTAAAAAATAACTAACTGTTGTACATGTCTGATATAGTACTTTAAAATTCCATGTATTTTTATATTTAAAAGGAATTCTATAAATTTTGATATTATAGACTAAATTCTGTCACTCATAATCATCATAAGTTCCAAATTACTAATCTCCTTAAGTGAAACACCATTTATCTGATCTTGATCATAGTCATCCCAGTCTTTGAAGGTCACACAGACTATATGCACCAAAAGTTGTTACCTGCCCTTCTCCAACTGTTTCAGTGTCAATAACTGTAATGATGCCTGGGACCAGAGGACTCCGTCTTGAGTTACTATGGATGGCAACATCATCTTCGGTCACACCTGAGGGCAGCGTGCCTGTCAACTGAGTGACAACTTTCCCAACCATTGTCAGGCCACTTTTCAATGTCTGTACAATGAAACATAAAATATATGACTTCACATCAATGCATGTAGTCAGTCACAATAGAAATAAGCATTTTATCAACTCTATTTTATTTTAAATTGTCTATTCTCTTACAATCAATAAACTGTCACAGATACTCGTCTGACATTCAGAATGTTGAAATTTAGTTAATAAATCAGTACTAGTTCAAAGAAATGTCACTAATCAAGCAACAAAGGTAGAAATTTGTTTCATGTAAAGGCAAAATTATATTATTAATAAAAATATTGTTTGTTCCCTACCTTAATGTATTTTTTGAAATAGTATATATGTAATTTTATGCCTATTATGTAGCATGATAATGACTGAGGCATTGATAGAATACCTATGTGGAAAACGACTATGCTTCTGAAATAAATCTATAATACGCTAAATCTATAATATGCTGTTATATCATACTATTCACTGAGATTTACAATACGGAAAATATACAGTCTCTATCCATGACGCTAATTACTAGAATCCATGATACTAATTAATGAAGCTTCATATGAAATTAGCTAGGAGGGTTCTTTTCTATCTAGTAGGGGAAACTAAATTGTGGTGCTTCTAATACACTATTTTCACTGGAAGATAAATTATGATTTTTTTTCATAATTACATTTAATTCAAATAGGTGAAGATAATCAATGTGCATTTTTCTTGTATTAAATTTTATCTGATTATTATAATGTGCATGAAGAAAAAATTTTAAAGTCAAAGAAGTAGTTTTCATCTGAAAAGAAATAAGAGAAAAAACTATATGAAGAACATTTTTTGAGGAATTTCTTAGCATTAGAGCCAGAATAGGCAGACTAGATAACAGGGACAACTTAAAATTTTTATATTAAATAATATATGCAAATTTTCCCAATTCTTCTGTAGTGAGGAAATTTTCTATTAAAATAATTCAAATTAATCTTCAATAGGTGACTTCTGAGACAATTATGGGGAAAATGTTTTTGCCTATATTCTGGCATAAGGTATAGCTAAATATTTTTTAATGTGAGTGGCATCCTTTATAAAATTTATTATCCTAAATTAATTGTACAAAGGGGTTTCATTGAGATATTTATACCACGTATATAACATACTTCAATTAAGTTCACCCCATCCGTATTACTCTTCACTTCCGGCCCTTCTCTCCTTTTTAACAGTTATTGGTGGGCTTCATTCTGCTATTTTCACACATATCCTTCTACGATACTAAAATGTAAATTTTATGACATGCAGGATTTTCATTTGATTTTGTTCACAATTACATGAAAACTGTAAAAAGCAAATTAAGTTTCCATTACTGTTACATCCATTATTTTTCTATAGCTATATCGCATGGCATCTCCACCATGTATTAGGGAATGCTCAAGACTATTACCGTGAACTACCGCTATAGATTTCTGCAACTATGTAGAAGAGAAACTGAAGTTAGAGAATTTAAATACAATGGCAGCTTAAACAGGTAACCAATGACGGGGCCAGAATTCCAATTTAGGATTCTGTCTCCAGAACACAGCTTTTAACCACTGTCCTATCCTATTTTACTTGTAATCTGTTACTGTTAGTACTTGTGGTGTCACAGTTCAAGAGTACAAAACACAGATGACTGATAAGGAAGAAGGAAGAAAAAAACTGAGAATCCCAATAATGTCTCCTAATAAGCACTTAAATAAAATGATCAGAAAAACTATCTGCTTGATTCAGGCAAAAAAGATAGAATTCACAGCAGGATGAAACTGAAGAGAAAAGCCCAAAAATCAATTGTAAATGTTTTGTTTAGTGCTAAAAACGCAAACTGCAGTGATTACAAAACACACCAGTGTTTCTCAATTAGCGACCGAACGTTTGTTTCAATAATTCACAAGAAATGACTTAGACCAAGTCTGCCAGGGTGTTGTAGGTAAGCCTCTGAAGGACCAGGAGAATGAGGTGTCACAGTGTGTTGATGCTGAGAGCTGGCCTGGGAGCCTGATTAACCTCTGATGTACCTCAGCTGATGCTAATGCTGTTATCAAAGCAGTGCCTTTGCCTGTATGTCCTTTGCATTTGCCCAAGCCTATTATTTCATACTTTCATACCAATGAATATGAAGAAAACTAAAAGACCTGGAGCACATGAAAAGTGGAAAGTAATGTTCCAAAGCAAACCACAGGGTAAAGTTGAAAGTTCAATTAAGAAAACAAGGAAAAGGATCCACAAAAAAGAGAAAAACAGTAGTGTATTTCATAGTCACAAACTCATGTTATGTAATGAGTTCTTGACAGTCATTTGTTAACAAAAAAAAAATCTAAGCCCAAAATTCAACAATCACCAAATCTGCAATTCATGTATGATAAGAGAGTATGATTTGTCCTAGCTAATTAACTGTTAGCTATGAGAGACAGTGGGGCGGTAGGTGTTGTAAGTTTTCTGCATTAGTGAAGAGCTTTACTTTTAGAATAAATTTGTTTTGTATTAGAATAAAAGACATCTATGAACACTAGTTCCCAGAAATATCAGCTGTGATGCCAGGATTTAACAGTTCTCATATGCTATTTTTAGAAATCTGAATCATCTCACCATAATTATCTTTCCAATCAACTTTAATAACTATATATGTGTAGCTACAGCCACACACATATATATAAATTGTAAATGTATATACATAATTACATATAACTGTTAACTTCCTCAAATCTATAAAATGACAAAGGATAAGCACAGATTAGGAATAGAGAATTCTGTATCAGTTAAATGCAGATGAAAATGAGACTGACTACCCTCTTGATCTAAGGTATCTAAATTTAAAAGTTCACTAAATCTCTGATTAATCTTTACAGAAGTACTCACAGAACAGAAGGGTGAGAAAATCCATTATAACCTGTAATTCAAAAGTGCCTGCACATACTCTGCTCTGTTCTAAGCAAACGGCCAAAGGGTCACTAGACAGCTTTAGCCCCTCTCATGCAATGTCACTTGCTCTCCCACCCATTAGCGCTAATGGTGTCGCTCTTGCAAACTGTTAGTTGTCATTACGTTATCAGATAGCAAGAGAAAACAGGCGTTTTTATTAAATCAATGACCACATTGGGGTTAAAATACATTAAAATGAGATGGTTATGAGGGATCTAGAAAATACAGGCCGAGATTTATAAATGTACCAAATAATTTCATTTGAACTACTTCAATATAAAACTTTTTCCTTTATCACTAGCAAAGTCTAAACATATAAAGATTAATTTCCAACTTCATCTTCAATATACTGATCTTGACAACTGCATAAAACAAAAAAATGAAAACTAAAATAATCCCTCCATGAAACAAAATATGAAGCCATAGAGGAAATTACCATCTGAAAAACAAAAAGAGGAATTGTACTTTCAAACAAAATGACTTAACACAGAAAAAATTTTAAATATATTTTCAGATAAGTACTTTTTCTTCATGAGCACAAACTACACAGTTTTTAACACACTTTCCACGTTTTCTTTTAAAAATGTCATATTACCTAAAAATAAGAAAATGGTAAGAATGAGAAAAATTATATTCTATTTTCAATTTTTATAGGGCAGGTAAATCACCCAATTCTACCAATAAGAACACCTGGCAAAACTGCATAGGGTGTTTTTGTAAAATGATGCTTCAAGGGAACTGAATATTTAAAAAGATCATTAAGAGTTACTAGGTCAAAATCCAAGAGAACAAGGAAAACCAGATGTTCCAGCTGGGTTGAGGCCTGGAGGTATCTCTCAATTTTAGGGATGGCTACAAAGAGACTAAGTGATGCATCTGACAGACTTCTGGAACTAGGGGGTTATCTGAGGCCTGCCAAGGGGGCCGACCTAGAAAGATTCCCTCCATCAGCGTATAAAGAACAGGCGGGAGCCTCTTCTAGTGTGAAATAAAGGAAGCACAGCTATTTCAGATCATCTTCGTTTAAACATCTTAAATAATCTCAATTTCCAAAACTGGATTAAGATGATCCACAACAGAGTACCAGAACTCCATTACCATCCCAACTCAAAACTAGCTCTCAAAATTTCTGAAGGAAATTCTGGCAAACAAGGATTCCAGACATCATAAATGAGAGCCAACAGAAAGAGCAAACAACAAAAACAGATCCAAAATGAAGCTGGACATTATTTGGCCTATACAAGGTTGATACTTGATAAAATGGAAATCCCAAAAACCAGAAGTAATCTCTATTTACTAAAAGATGTTATCAAGTTTTTTGTTTGAAGGTACCCAATACTTTTTGTGAATCTATTGAGATTATCGTGTAATTTTCTCCTATTATTCATTCTTTTCAAGTGATAAAACAGCCTTATATTGTAGAACTATTCCACAAAGAATGTGACAAATTATATTTCCTATACAATTTTGTGCTAATTTTTTAAAATAATTTTTCGATCTCTACCCATAAGTTAGAAATAATTCAGGTTTCATTTTTCCTAATGTTCTTATCAAGTTTTTTAATAATGGTAATCTCACATCAGAAAGCAAGATTCAGCACAATCTGACAGACCTTAATCTCTGGATGAGTCTTTGTGTACTCTTGCCAAATTATTTTATATATTTGATGGATTGGTTGAGGCATGCCCCACTACTCCTAATCATAATTGTTACACTTAAATTTTAGATAAAAATTTTCCAGAGAATGTTGTTAGTTCTAAAGATATCTTTGCAAGTAAGTGTTACACACTCTGAAACAGAAAAATAAAGTGATTATACAACATGATAAAATTTCACAATAATGAGGATGACCCATAATGTAGTAGTAATAAAACAAGTAATATATTTAGAACTGTACTAATTAATTATAAAAGGTACTTTAAAGTAGTTACCATGCAAAAATGTAAGTCTATTAATCCTCAAAAGTTGGATTTAACAACTAATATCCAATACAAAACCAGGAGAAATTAACATTTGGGAAAAAAATCAGCCCAATTTTCCAATACTTTCTATATGAAAAAGACTAGGGAACTGAAACAAAGTCTCACTATATGTCTGGTAGAAGTTTAAGTGAAATAATTTGATGATATTTTCAAGAAAATTCAAAATAGTCATGCTCTCAGATCAGAGTTCCAAGCAAATAGATAAATACAAAAAATGTTTTAGAAAATATTTAATGACATTTGAGTAGGGTATAATTGTAATTTACCAGATCAGGGTATAATATATGATTGGATCAAAAGTTTCTAAAAATTAAACGTGTACATACACAGAAATATAAGATAACAGAATTGTACACACTGAAAAGGTAATAAAGAATTCTAATCACTCCACTGGTGACCAGTGACCTATTGGAAATTGGCTGGATTAGGTGCTATTTTAAACATATTTCTTTGAGCCTAAATGTAGAAGGACTGAGTATATGCCTCAAAGTTTTAAGTACAGAGGTGTGGGAACATGGGGAGTTCAGACTTCTCATTTTCAAATCACATTAAATAAACGAAGCAGGTCCTTTTATGTACGCACAGAAATAAAAGCTGAAAAGTTATGCTCGACTCAGTATCTGAAAAGTACTCCAAATCTTTGTAATGATCAGCTATCCTGATCCAACTGTGTGAGACAGTAAGTCTAAAAGGAGACTAAAACTTGAAAAACAGATCTCAGAGGTCTATGTTGTAGATTAACATAACGACACTGAAGATTCTGTCTAATCACAGTCTTAGGTTATTCCTTGTTGCCATAACCATCATTATTTTTACATACTCAATGGAGAAAAGCTGGCCTTGTTTACAAAGATTTCTGAGTTATAAATACGTAATGCTATAAGCGTAAAGCCTTATGCATTATTTCAGTTTGAGTGAAAAATAACAATGCTTCTCTCATCAAGTCAAGAGGCGCATTCCAAAGCACATCATGGAAGCATTTGTGATCAGTCCTGAAGTATTTTTGTATTTGTTTAACATAAAACAGTGTGACCTTTGATTCCCTCCCTGTGGTTTACTTTAAACTGTTGTTCTTTTCTGAATAGTTGTGCTTTCTATTACATGCTGTCATTTAGATTCACTCTGTCATCCCTATTATTAGAACTGTTTTGTTGTATACTTCACAATTCAAAAGGATAGTGGTTATAAGAATACCTTATAATCAGCATCAAGTTTACCAGGCATCATCAAAATGAACCCTCACACACACAAGAAAGAACTCACTTGACAAACTTGAAGGGGGCAGCCCCTGGATATGAAAGAATCTTTGAATGTGCCAGGGAACTGACTCCAGTTTTCATAAGGAATTCTTGATGTCAGGAAGCATCAGTAGTGTTCAAAGATGCACAGGGATGTCAGTGTAGGTAAAATAATGCAAATCACAGAAAAGAGACCAGAAATCACCATGTAAAGCTTCCTCAAATGTGGTATTAATTAGTTACCAGACTCCAGTCCAGTTAATATACTTTAAGGTTTGAAACTGCGTAAGTGCAAACCCTATACCATTATAGTAGAAAATGTATCAACCACGAAATATTACATTTCTAATAGTTAAATCAATATTAATAATGAAAGGCAGAAAAGTATGATTTACTTCTTACAATTAAATTCCAGTTGTGAATGAAAATGGAAGAAACTATTTTAACACAATTCAAGAGAGAAACCTGATAATGACTCCCCATGATCACCACTCACAGACATTACAAGGTACTCACTTTAGCAGCACTAATGACTGTGGCAGTATAAGACTGAATGTTGTCTCCACAGGCTCCACCACGAGACTGATGACATCGAATCAACTAAGGTTAAAAAAAAGAGAGGGAGAGAAAAGCAGAGTCATTTTCTATTAAACTGTTTAACTCTGAATGCTATTAGACAGCACTTATTTACTGTGCATAAACGATGATGGTGGGAGAGAATGTTAACATGAGTGTATTTCAGACAAAATAGCAAAAAACCCTATTGAGACATTTTTACCCTATTTATAATCCACTGGTGCCACTCAGGCAGTTTCAAGCTCAACTACAGTTTTAATTACAAGATGAGTAGTCTTTAAGAATTAGTAAACTCTGAAATGGTAGGATTTGGAGTCTGGCAGCCTTTGCACAAATAAATTTTAAAAGCATAACCAAAAGACTTATACATAGCTTCCTGACATTAAATATGTGACATGCTAGCAGACTGGATGTTTTTTCCCTAATTCCTTTATAAAGATTATAAAAGAAAACATAAAAAGCAGACAAAATGTTTTGCCATATTTGCATCTTCAACTGTGTCACAAGAAAAATGGCACAAATATGCATAAATCAATTGTGACATACTCAATAGCTGTCCACTTCAGAGAGTTTACTGCTTTTACAGTGAGGAATAAAAAAGACATGCCCTTATTCATACTCCTCATGAACAAACAAATCTGCCAACCGTCAATGTGAATCATTACTGTGCAATGGTTCTCACCTGCTAAGCAGTAAGTCAATTCTTCAGTGGGCCTCAATTTGCCATGTTTAATAACAACCAAAAAAGAAATCACAACCAAGATTTATCTTTTTAAACTATTTAAAAAATAAAGTGACAATAGTAGACTATGAGAACAGTATCACATTGTATTTAAAAGCTTCTGGATTGATAAAAAAATTACACCTAAAAATGCTTTACATAACCTAAAACTTATCTTTTTGATAAAGATTAACACATCTTCTTTTTATTCTTTTCCAGTGGTTCTAGGAACAGCCACATTGTGCATGCTAGGCAAGTACTCTACCTCTGAGTTACATCCCCAGCTCTAGTCATTTTTTTCTTAAATCAATTTTGTTTCTTTGAAACTGACACTGTTTTTAAAGAAGTCTCCAAAAGCAATATTAATATTATAGAATGGAACACCTTTAAAAGACCGACATCAAGATATTTTTGAGACAATTTCTATGTATACCATACTGAAATAGGTTTTTGAAGTAAGTGACTGATCAGCAAGTGTGGTTTCACATGGAATAAAATGTGTTACTGGAAAGTTATATGTTTATCTAATAAAAAGAATCTGTCATTCATTCATCCACAAATACACAAAGACTTATGAAAATTATCCCTCTGCTGCCTCCTGCTGCATAAGCAAAGAAAGGCAACATTTGGGAAAGGCTTTCATATACTTCCTACTGTAAGTAGCTAAAAAAGTCAAGAATAATATAAATATGTAAAAAGAAGCAACACTTTGCTTTTTCAATTTGACTACAACTGAGTCAAAATTTGGTCCCCAATCAGAATTATTTCTAGTACAAAATTCTATCAAATGGACTAATCTCCAGGGAATATTGCTAAGCAAAAAAGTAAAGTGCCAAGCCAGAAAGTAGTGTGTCACGCCTATACTCCTAGCTACTTGAAAGGCTGAGATCAGGAGGGTTACAGTTCAGTTCTCAAGAACCTATCTCCAAATGAAAAAGAGCAAAATGGACTGGAGGAAAGGCTCAAACTCTAGAGTGTCTGCTATGAAAGCCCTGAATTCAAAACCCAGTAACACCAGGTGAAAAAAAAAGTAAAATGTGAAATAGCATAGATACAACGTTATCTTTGTTAAAGTGAAAAATATACACAAGTGTATAATATCAATGAACATGTAAATGAGGTATGAATTTACAAAGAAAGTACCAATTATATGTGAAATAAAACCCTAACCAAAACAAAAAAAAAAAGGTAAAAAGACAGGAATGAAGGACAAAATAATAAAAATTCCTATAAAGATAGTTATTTGACTGGAACCGTAACAGGAAACAATGCCTCAACTCTGTATCTGATTTGACTTTGTAGTGCTATGAGCAAGCAATTCTGCAATTATCTTCTGTGTTACAGGATTGAGCAAATTTCTACTATGCAAAAGTAAGGACACCATGATTACGAAATGGGCAAGGTATGAAAGAACCATGTGGAAGTATCAACTCATTAACATGCTCATATAAGAGTACACACACACATATGTTTGTACACATTTCTGTGAATATCTGCGAATGTGTATAATATATTTCCTAGCTCTGTCTATTGAAAAGGTCTAGGACAAGGACATCTCAGTAGCAATGAGCACAACTCTCTAATAATGTACCCAGTAAAAGGCACCAGAAAGCCTTTTGTAACAGATTCCAAGACTGAGAGAGAGAAAGTACAACATGAGTTTGGGTATCCTTTTAGTCAGGAAGTAAGGAAATAAAGTTTGTTTGTTTGTTTGTGATATGAGGATATGTCAGAAGGCTGCAATAAACTGCCTAAAGTGGTTTACATTGCTCAACCCTAGGAATATTTGAAAACTGAAATAATTGATGATAATAATCTTGTTGGGAGTTTAGAGCAATTTGTGCACGTTTTTAAATTTATTAAAAATTATGATTATTTTAGGTTTGTCTGACATTTTCTTCTGATTATGTTGATCATAGAATTTGAACAAAACAATATGTGAGTACCATTACACATCTGTCCTTCTTTATGAGGTCAAGTCTGCCTCACAACCTCAAAATAAAAATCATTTTACTGAAAGGAGGAGGAAGAGAATAAACAACTGAAGTCAGAGTGAGGTGCAGACTTATAGTCCCAGCACCCAGAGGCTGCACCAGGAGGATCCCTAGAGCATAGGTATTGCAGACCAACCTGGTGAAAACAGACAGACACATCACAACAACCATGACAACTAAGGGAGAAGGTAGGAGGTTCATTCCTTCACAAATATCAATGAAGAAACAGAAAAGAAAAAGATTGTAGGATATTACATATTTTAAGAGGCACCATTTTGTTAAGAGACACCATAACAAAATGTGATCACTGATATGGATCAGTCCTTTGTCACAGGGAAAAAACATCTGCAAGTGATATTTATAGGGTTAAATTAAAAAACTGGAATATGGGCCAGATATGTGGCTCAAACCTCTACCAGTTACTCAGGAGGCAGAGTTTGGGAAAATCATGGTATGAGGCCAGCCCAGGAAAAATTAACAAGACCCTATCTCAACAAATGAGCAAGAAAGAAATGGTGCTGGATGCCCAGGTATGAAAAAGACATGGGTAGGAGGATCAGGGTCTGAGGCAGGATCAGACAACAACAACAACCAGAGAGAGTGAGAGAGAGAGAGAGAGAGACCTTATCTGAAAAAATAACTAAAGCAAAATGAGTTGGAAGGATGGCTTCCCTCTCTGAAAATTGGAATATGAGTGGTACATTAAAGTATTTCATCAGTATTAAAGTGGCTGAAAACTGATGTATCTAGAAATAATGATATGTGCAATTTACTCTGAAATACTGTACAGAAAAATATGTATTATGGAGTCATGGGTATGCTACTTGGGAGGCTAAGATCAGGAGGATCACAGTTCAAAGGTAACACTGAGCAAAAAGTTCACGGATTCCCATCTCAACCAATAAAAAATCTGGGTATAATGGTCCATTCACGTCATCCCAGAAATGTGGCAAACCTAAAGAGGAGGATCACAGTCCTGGAAGGTCAGGGGATAAACACTAAACACTAATCAAGAAATAACTAAAGCAAAAAGGGCTGGAGTGCAGGTGCTAAAGTACATGCTCACACCTAGCTACTTAGAAGGATGAGATGAGGAGGATCACAGTTACAGATCAGTTGTGGCAACAAAGGCAAATAATTCACAAGACCCCATCTCAACCAATAGATTAGAGCTGTGGCCCAGTCATTCCCAGCTAAGCAGGAGGCTGCAATCAGGAGAGATCACTGTCCAAACCAACTTGCGCAAAGAGACCGTTTCCAAAATAACCATAGCAAAAATAGCTGGATGAGTGGCTCCAGAGCTGGAGGGCCTGCCTAGCAAGTGCAATGGTCTGAGTTTAAAAAAAAAAAAAAAAAAAAAAGGAGGGAAAGAGGGGAGGGAGAAGGAGGAGGGGACTGGAGGTGTGGCTCAAATGGTAGAGCACCTGAATGCCAAGTTAGCAAGTCCAAACCACAGTAGTGCAAAAACAAAAATGATGCATGGCTTATTGTTTATGATGTTATAATCAAAGAACATTTTGGGGCTGGGGATGTAGCTCAGAGGTAGAGCACTTGTCTAGTATGCACAAGACAATCAACACCACAAAATTTAAAAATACATTTTCACTGAAAGAAACCGATAATCCAAAATTTAATTTTGCAATTCCCAACTTGGTGCAAAAGCTAAAAACCTCAGAAACTTATAATAAATAACTTATGGAAATAGGATATACCATAATTTAGATATGTCTCTACATAATGGTACAACCATTAGAATGAATATCACCAGACTCCTTAGTCCCTGCCTGTGACACCACATATTATTCACATGTGTATCTGCAAAGGCAAAACAATTTACATATATCTAGGCTACACATATATGGAGTTCCTTCTCTCCAAAAAAATATTTAACAACTTACAAAATACCTCCCATTCCAAATGGGAGGTATTCCCATTGTTTCCCACATGTGAGAATACATCTTTACACTTAATTACTACACTTAATTGTATAGGTCTTGTTTTGTTTGAAAGGAAAAATTGGGAAGAGCTGTTTTTTACGATATATGTGCTAAAATCAACAGAACAAACAAGAAGGAACATAAATAGAGCACTCAGTAAGATGAAAAATACCTTAATTTTTGGATAAGGAATCAAAGAAGTCATCTATAAAAAAAAGCTTACACATTCCAGAGGCTACTAGTCCTCTGACTTCAACAAATATTCACTTTATTCACTACATCTTGATTTTGTTAAGAACTATTTCATAATAGTCCCAAGATGCAATAACAATGCAACCAACAAAAATACTAATCACTGAAGTCTGAAATACTTTTAGACTTCATTCTACATTCACATATAGAGTGCTAAATGACATAAAAGGACTTCGTGGTTTTATTAGTTTTGTATTTTTGAATTACAATACATTAATAGTACAAGAATTTCACTGTGATAATCCTACTTATATATTCAGTGTACTCTGAGCAAGTTAATTCCTTCCATTATATAACTGTCTTTGAGTGTTTGTGTGTGTGTGTGTATGTGAGTGAGTGTAGTGTCATGTTGTGTAGTGTACTTGGATCCTCTTTACCCCTCAGTATGCTTTCCTTTCCTTTCCCTACTCTCCTCCCATTGATAACTACCCCTGCCAAGATCATCCCTCAGATTTTATATTTTCTTATTTACAAAAGGTTTTCCCTGAATTGTACATAAATAAAACTCTCTCTTTATTTGCATTTACTATGAAAATGTTGGTAAATAAATTTGATAATTGACTGGAAAATTCAACACAATCTAAGCACATGTAATTTCATTATTTAAAAAAATGACTAGGACAGGAATGGTGGTCCACACATTGTGGTCCCTGCAAGGCCAGAGGCAGAGGTAGGAGGACTGTCATATGAGGCGCCCAGGGAAAAGCATTAGACCCTATCTGTAAAACAAACTAAAATAAAAAGGATTAGGGGAGTGGCTTATGTGGTATAGTGCTTGTCTAGCAGGTTCAAGGCCCTTAACTCAACTCAATCCCCAACAGTCCCACCCCTCGAGGGAGAGAGAGATATAAATTGAATGAAGTACTGAATATATAAGTAAGCCTACATTTATGGATTCTTTAAAATGTCAGATAATTGGTTGCACAAACCAAACCAAATAACAGCACTTGGGAGGCTGAAACAGGAGGATCCTGAATTCAAATTCTGTCTACATAGTGAGCTCAAGGCCAGGTTCATGGGCTATATATATAGCAAGACCCTGTCTCAATTAAAATAAATAAATAAATAAATGCAATAAGTTGAACAATACAGAATATAGGGATAAGTAGGTAGGTGAGTGGATGGATAGAGACAGATGATAGATAGACAGGCAGACAGACAGAGAGATAATCAAAATCTTAAATACTTGCTCCATTAAAACTAACCCAAACATGGGCCATGTCTTACCTTATTTTCTGCATAAGCAAGCCAGCGGCTCCCAAGAGCAATAGGATTCATGTTTGGCCCAGGACAAGGATAACAACCTAAAAGTTTCAAATGATAATATTCAGAAATTTCTTCAAAAGGTTAGATCAAAAAGAATTAACCTAGAAGGTAACACCCATGAACAGGAAATCAATGTGAGTCAATGCCCTGTATAGCTATCCTTATCTCAACCAGCAAAAACCCTTGTCCCTTCCTGTTATTGCTTATACTCTCTCTACAACAAAATTAGAAATAAGGGCAAAATAGTTTCTGCTGGGTATTGAGGCGGGGGGAGGGAGGGGGTGGAGTGGGTGTTAAGGAAGGGGGTGGGGGCAGGGGGGAGAAATGAACCAAGCCTTGTATGCACATATGAATAATAAAAGAAAAAGGAAAAAAAAAGAAATTTCTTCATAAGTATTCTGTTGATGCTACAAGAACAGGAAAATCAAATGGTATTATTTTTCCAAGGCTCATAGAATTCCCATAGTTGTAGTCATTATTTTAATAGCTAAATGAATTGCCCTTTTTTCTCCTTTATTTAACTTTCTTTTGGTGTTAACTCTGCTCCATTAAAGAAACAATTTAAGAAGAGATTATAATCACTTTTTCTATAATTGGGCATTTTATACTGTGATTCCTGAACAAGAGAATGGAATTAAGAGGAACTGCTTAAAGTTTGTAAGATCAAAGTTCATAAAGCAAAGAAGAATTTTAGTAGAGGAGAAAGAAAGCATACAATGGGTTCAGGATACACCTATACACAAACATACACTTAAAAGGAAATGATAATACTATGGTGGTGGAAAAAGAAAAACAACATAGAGTAAGGGATGGGGACAAGGATAAGGAATCCTCAAAGATTCTTCAATAGAAGGTCCTGAGGAACTAGATAAGTATTTACAGTAACACTTAATGTCATTTTCTTGCTTCCAGTACTACCCACCAACAACAGTAAATGGTTCTATGATATGTGTTTATACTTTATTCATTTTCTATCTTATTTCATCTTGATCAGAAGGTTATGTAAAAAAAGGATTTGTATTCCTTTTGTTACTGTTGAACCTCCACTATCTACACATCTACACATGACAGATATTCAAAAATGTTTGAAAAATTGAACAATGAACTGAAAGTAATCAAGGCATATTTATATACAGCATCAACTAAGAAATTTTCATCAAATATTCAAATAATATGCTCTGTAAGTGTCACATCACTGTTTTCAAGCCACTTTTTAAATAGAAATCTTTCCCTAATGCATATCACATTATTCCCTGAATTCAGAAAGTCTTCCAACTAACATTTGGTGTCACTAGCACTAGGAACATAGCATTCTATCTTACTGTTGCAATACTCACAAGCACTGACGGGGCCCAGATGGCTGCTGCTTCCACTATACAGCAGCTTTCAACTCAGTTCCCTAAATTGCTATCTACTTTGAATTTTTACATTGCAAAGAAGAAAATGACCTAAGAGGAAGTCCACATATTATATGAAATAAGGTTTTTCATATTCTTCCTCCTTGAACTTTTTTTTTTCTTGGGGGCAGTATTGTGGGTTGAACTCAGCCTTATGCTTGCTAGGATGGCACTCTTCCACTTGAGCCACTGTGCCAGCCCCATCCTCTGTGTCTTTAAAACAAACAAACAACTATTTCTCTATGGTTTGAATGCATATACAGTGGCATGCATACACAGGACAAAGACACACTACAAAATGTATAATAAAGCACTGTTCTATACATTCTGTACCGTATGTTTGTTGTGCCATACTTAAAAGATTAGATTGCCACCAAATAAACTAGTACTATTAATATAGAAATGGACTTTAATATATGAATATATATACATATTTATCTGAGATCTTCAGAGTAGAGAAATGAAAGTAAGTATGCTGTGCAAGAACGATTTCTCTTTTAAAACAGAATCAAATACCTCCTAATAGCAGCATCACATTAGAGGCAGCTAATGATCTAAATTAGCTTTAAAATTCAATACAATTTAATCTTTGATCAATTCCAAAAATCACCTCAACTGCTATTAGATACTATTAAGAACATTTTCCATTACAAATTCTAAAGGATCCCATAGGAAAACATAGCTTGCAAATCTTCACTTTATAAGTCAAGAACTACAGTATATTGAAATGAAAGCAAATTGTTTTTCAGCTCTCCAAAACAATACTGCACAGCTGGTATTAGCAGAGCATTGGCAACTTGGCACCATCCCAACCTTAGAAGCATGACTCCTTCAAAGATTAACTTTTCACTCTAGGTAAAATTTGAAAACAAGTGCAGGAGTTGTGAGGCCCTGAACCTATGTAATGTTAGGATGAATTCAAACATGTTTATAATGTGGTTGAACAAAATAAGCAGAGAAAACTGTATGTTCAAAAAACTCACGTTCTCCAATATAGCTAAGGTAAAATTCAAGACCACCACACCACATGAGTATTCTTTTATGACTAAAGAATTAAAAAGGGACATGAGAATGATGCAATTTTTCAAGGAATCTTAGCAGAAAGTTGGTAGCAATGGAGAGGTCACGTGAACTCATTTAAAAAAATAAGAATTAACTATTCTTTATGTCACATCACTTTATTTTTTCTAGCAAGGACAATTAAACAACAACAGGTGCTTGGATTTGTGGCCAACTCATTTCCGATAAAGATACCCAGACAAGTCAATGATGACTTCAGATCGTAATAATTTCTTACATATGACACCAAACATAGAAATGACAAAAGAAAACAGTAAGTTGGACTTCAATAACTTTTAGGTTTCCAAGCTTTGGAAGCAGACCAGATGCCACTGATGAATGAATTAATGAAACTGTGACATATATACACAATGCATGTTTATTTAGCCATAAAGAAGAATGAAATTATGTTCTTTGCAGGTAAGAGGATGGAACTGAAGAACATCATGTTAAACAAAGTAAGCCAGGCCCAAAAAAACAAAGGTCACTTTTTCCCCTTATGTGGAAGCTAGACCTAAAAATTAAATGTATATATAAAAATATGATCATATATATATATACACATATATATATATGCATATATACTATATACAATGAGAGAGAAATTGTTATGGAATGATAAATATTCAAACAGCCCATCTATGTATTAATATAATATAATGCACTGTAAGCTCTGAAATGGGGTTAATTGATTAAAGTATGATATACACAGGCCTAAAGTACCAAGGCAAGATCCTCCTTGGACCATCAATATACATTTTTTAAAAAATGAAAAGCAAGAGGGTAAATTAGTTCTTTTCTGGGGGTGGACAACAGTGAGAAAGGAGTGGGCACAGGAAAGGGTGAATGAGGTTGAATGTGGTGGATCTATTTTGTATTTATATATGGAAATAGAAGAATGAAACCTGTTGAAATTATTCTAAGAAGGGGGAAGAGGGAGAATGATAGAGGATGTAAATACCACAATGTATCCCCCTACACAATGATTATAGGCAATTAAATTTTTTTAAAAAACTTTTGTGTGTCAATGGACACCATCAAGGAAGTAAAAGGACAACCTACAAAATGGAGAAACATCTATCTGGTAAGTGACTAATTTTTAAGAGTATAATACAACTAATAAAATTCAATTATTGAAAAGATGAGTAACTCAATTTTAAAATGAACGATATACAAATATCAAATAAATACATGAGATGTGTCCAATGTGATTAGCCATCAGAGAAATGCACACAACTATAAAAAACCTATAACCAAATGTTCATAGCCAAGAAAAATGAAAACATACATCTACATAGAATGTTGTGATCTAGTGTTTACTCCCAGCATTATACATCATAGCCCCAAAATACATATAAACCAAATATATATGTAGAATGTACATGTAATTTAATATTGTGTGCATTTTTCCATAAGGAAAAAATAAAGACCTCATACATGCTACAATACTGATGAATGTTCATTAAACTCTCATAGATGAAAGAAACAAGTGTGCATCTAGAAAATACTATGAACACCACCCTAGGAAAAGACACAAACACAAAATACTAAGTACCACTTTAGAGACTTACTTAACCATCGTATAGCTGACTAATGATCATCTTGAGGTTCCATGAGCCTTGAGATAACTTATGAATTTCAGAGGACTGCCATTCTAAGGTTTAATGGGGGAATTACATGCAGATAATAGAAAAGTCATAATTTAGTTCATTGCATGTATAACTGTTGAGTATCCACTGTGTATTAGGGAATGTCTCAGGCCAGAAAATCAACAGCAGCCTTCTCACAATGTTAGGCTGATGGCACGGTATGTTATAGCACCTGCATAGCAAGCATAAACCCATTTCAAACCCCAGGACCACAAGAAAAAAAGATTAACTTCTAAACTTGGTTTATCTCATACAAACTTACCAATCCCTTTTTGGATATGTTAGGAATACATTAACTAACATAAAAAAGCAAAGCACTTCTTACCAAATTTTTTTAAACTTTGCATTTTAAAACTCCTTTATATTCATTTCATTTGTTCCATGTGTTATTCACCATTAACATAAACGAAGACCACACATACTAACACTAATAACATTAAGACTTTAAGAAATAATTTTCCTTCTAAGAGTAAAAACAGAGGCCAATGCTAAGAGGTTCCTAGCTGGACACTCGTTAATCGACCCCAGAGACTTCATATCTGCCTTTTAACTGAAATTGAAATGGCTACTAATGACATCTATCAGTCTTTGTCTTTTGTTTTCCTAATCATACCTGGGTTTTGGATTTCCACATCAGACAGCTGCTCCAGGCCAGCTTTTCTGTACTCCCAAACAGAAGAGTGTCTGCTTTCTCGTCATATTGGATTTGTTAACAGTTCTCTATCAGGTCTCTTTAGCACCCTTTGACACACATTCCCATGATGCTTGCTCTGATGGACACAACTGTCTCTACTTATTTTACAATACTTTCATTGTATTCATACTTAACTAAGGCACTCCACTAAAAACATATTACACAAGAGCTTTTCAGACTACTTTAGATTTTAAATGCTTGCATGATCAAAACAACATCCTCATTAGGTGGAGATCTTGTCACTTCTACATGCCACTCGATCCTACTTCTTTAAGAAATGGGGACCAAACAACAGAGAAAAGCTAGTGGTACAGGCAAATGAGTTTCCACAAAAGCTATCTCTGTCTTACCACCTCCCATCCCCAATCTATATATCAGTATAACACATAGAAATGAATATAATCTATATCCATACTGAAACAGGAGGGTGGGTAGGGCAAGTAGGAATAAGTTTCTTTAAAATTATGAAGTGCAATGCTTTGTTCCTTGATCTAAAAATTTTTTCGTACTGAATTTGGTTACAAATTTTGAGACAAATCCCTTTGGGGTAAAGCTATAATTCAAAGAAAAGCTCCTAAATTCCTTCATCCAAATACTTGTGTGTATCAACAATCTTACTAACCTAAAATCACATGAATAAACCTGATCCCTAGAGTCTTCAAGTCAAATAGAATAATTTGTAAGTAACAACAAACCACTTCCTAATGGAACTGTGAAACAGAACATATTACTATTACTGGTAAGGTTCTTCGTTGATGTTCAGATAGGACTGTAGTGAAGTTCTACAATAAATAGTATTCAAAGAATCAACAGAGAAATCACAAACTTTTGCTATTGTTGCTTTCTGAGCTCTGTTCTATATTTATAATATGAATTGAAGGGTATTATTAAGTAACATACATTTCAGATTCTATGTAATCCATATTAACAGAGACTTTAAGGCATCCTCACTATCACAGCCATTGTACAATGACTGTTAGTACTCGGAGTGAGTGAGAATCTTCATGGGTCAGAACACAAGCCACTTGACTAGGGCTTAGTTATAAGTTTCTTTCACTACAAAAAACAGTGTTACCCATTCCAGATCTTTCTTCCTATCATAAGTAATTCACAAAATACAAGAAGCTACTATTTTAACAATATTTACTTCAACTATTTAGTGAGTTCAGCAATTTAAGATGATGCATTTAGGAATATATGGCAACAATGTACCAAAAAGAGATGAAGAAAAAGAACTAGCAAGGTGTAGTGCATGCCCATAACCCAAACACTAAGGCTAAGGCAGGAGGATGTCAAGTTCAAAACCAGTCTGGGCTGCTTCACAAGATACTGTCTGAAACAAAAAGAGAGAGGGCTAGAGGACTGGCGCAAGCGGTATTATGCCTGCCTAGCAAGAGTGAGCATGAAGCCCTGAGTTCAAACCCTAGTGCTGCAGAGAGAGGGAGAGAGAGAGAGAGAGAGAGAGAAAGAGAAGTGCTAACAAATACTAACAGAAATAGAAATAAATTTCACTCAAACGCAGAGTATAAGTTATTAAATACATCTATATCATGTTATCCAAAAGTTAATTAAACCACTTTAAGCTTTAAAAGTTATATTATTATACATGATAGAAATACATTATAATGTATAATTTTGTATATTTTCCTCAATAAAGCAGTATTTTGAAAGGTATGTTTTCATTCCAATGTATCAAAATAATTATAAAATGTGTGTCATTCAAATCAAAGTGTAAGACTACACTGCTCAGGGTCTCACACTTCCTAGCCGGGAATTCTGCCACTTGCACCACTCTGCAAGCCCATTTTGTGTTGGTTATTTTTGAGACAGGTTCTCGCTTTATGCCTTAGGTGGCCTGAACCATGATCCTTCCTTCTATTTGTGTTTTCCTTCACAGCTGTGATGACAGGAGCACACAACAGTCATTGCTTGAGATGGGGTATCAAGAACATTTTGCCCAGCTTGGCTTTGAACACAGATCCTCCTGACCTTCAATTCCTGAGTCACTCAGGTTACAAGGCTTCAGCCACCATGCCCAGCTCCTTTTTCTTATTTATTTTATAAAATATCGTACTGTGTGAAATTTAGGATTCTGTGTGGTTGAGTGAGTGGGTTAGAACTAGGTTAATTTTTGCACAGTGGTACAAGTTCTGAAGGGTGGAGCAATGATAGAGGGAAAAAAGAGGCTGAACTGTTTCTTCTGAATTTCAAATCTCTCATAGAAGAATTTCTGTTCAATCATCAAATGTGTCAGGTTAAATAAATAAATTAACTGCATTCAAAGAATAAAATACCCACATGAAATAAATCATAACTACTCAAGAGATACAGATGGAGAAACTGAGGCAATATGGAAAATATGCAGGCAAAGTGAAATTATGTTTCATACAATTATACTTATGAATAAGGACATCCACAACAATAATAGATCATCATAACTGAAAACTCACGGCAGACTAGCAAATAAATAATATAAACTAAAATACTTATCAAAGGAAATAAAATTATTTGGTACATACTTGTGACAAAAAATTTTTTTGTGAAAGTACAGCTATCAAAGGCAGCAATTTTCTCCTGCAAGACTACAACGAGGATCCTATAATTTGAAAGAAAAAAAAACAAAAAAGAAAGAGTTGAATGTGAAATTCTATGAACTGACCCATAAATAAGTTAAATTATATAGATTTAAGAATAAAACACTTCTGATAATATTTACGATAGAAATATCTGGCTTTTAAAGGACTAGACTGGAAAAGGCACTACCATCAAAAAAATGTTTTCTTTTAATACAGTTTCATTCATTTCAAACTGAGTAGGTCAATATTAAGAATGCATAATATCAATACACTGTTGGCTACTTACTAAAAGCACTTTTGCAGTGATATTTCAAAGTAATGGGATTAGATATAAAATGGATTTATTTAGTCTATCACTGAAAGTGATTGCTGCATTTCCCAACACACACACACACACACACACACACACACACACACACACACACACAAATTTACAACTGCAACTCAGTATAAACAAATCATTTCTGACTGACTCAGTATATTAGAATTTAATACAAATATGTATAAGGAGTATTTTTCACAGATACCAAGATTTGTAAATAATCTTAAATAATATGGAAAAGGAAAAAGATGATTATTACTTAGAAAAATTTTAATGTAAAATTCCTAAAATACTTCCTTATAGTATAATGTAACTTGTAGGATATTAATATGAATAAATGAGTTTAATAATGATTTCCAAAAATCTAATTGTTATGGAATAATTAACAATTAATATACTATAAGAAAAAATGTATTATTTACATTTTGGTTCATTTGTTAGAACACGTTCATTTGCTGATGTAGAACTATTGTACTGAATGCTGTTAAATCCTTGTAATTTTTTTCAGCAAGATCTGATAAAAAGTTATCTATTTGTTTACTGGGTTGTTTGTTGCTGCTAAATAATAATTTGCTACGTGTGTGTGTGTGTGTGTGTGCTTTGTGTACATAGAGAGGCAGAGATAATCACCCAATCAAGATGATAATAAGACACCTTAGAAATCCCCAAACCATCTCACAAACTGCATCAATTTAACAACCACTTAATATATTGATAGAAAAAAACGGCATTTCGATATAGAAATATTATTTACAAAGGTCTTTACAATACAGTATTCAGTACAAAAAATCAAATAATGAAAAAATATGCACCACTGTTAATAACCAGTAGAATCTTGCTGAGTGCAGTAGTACATATCTGTAGTCCCAGCACTCAGGAGGCTAAGGCAAAAGGACTGTGAAAATGAATCTGTGGCTAGCTGAGCTACATGCAATGAGACTGTCTCGAGAAAAAAAACAAAAAATCAACTAGGCATTGGTGGTGCCTATAATCCTAGCTACTTAGGAGGCTGAGGTCAGGAGGATTCCAGTTTGAGGTCATCCTGGGAAACAGTTTTCAAGATCCTATCACCAAAATAACCAATGCAAAATGGACAGGAGGTGTGGCTTCAACAGCAGAGCACCTGCTTTACAAGTACAAAGCCCTGAGTTCAAACCCCAGTCCCTCAAATCAAACAAAAAACACAATCAATAGAATGACTTGAAAAGATGCAGTATATGGTATGGGTATACATGTATGTATGTGTGTATACTTTGTTCTCATAATTTCTTTTTTAAATTTTTCTGTGCTGGTATCAAACCAAGCACATGCTCTTTCACTAAGCTCACCCCAGTAGCCCTTACAGTAACTATAAGTGCTGGACTGGATATGTTATTGTAAGATAACCTATATTACTCATTACAGTATATGCCACTAGTGACAAAGGGCATCCATAAGGATGAAAGGGTCACATAACAAGAAAATATAATAAACAAAAGGGTATATGCATGCAACAAGAGAAAAGCAAGAGACTTCAGGAAGATACAACAATGCAAATGACCATTGAAAATACCAAAGAAGGAAAAGCTTCCTCCTAATTTTTTAATGAAACAAAAAAGGAAGAATAACAAGAAAAAGAAATTTGCAGATCAAAAGCTATAATAAACATAGATGTAAACCCAGGCATGGTAGTCACACCTATAAACTAAACACAGAACAGGAAGGCAAAACAGGTCCTGTCTCGGTGCTGGTACCAGTGGGAGGAGATAGGATAGAAGGAAAGGCTGTAGGAGGGGAATATGGTGGAAACACTATGTAGTCATGTATGAAAATGGAAAAATGACACCTGCTAATATATTCCAGGAATGGAAGGAGGGGATAAAGGAGAATCATGGAGGGGGTGAGTTCAACTATGATATATTGTAAGATATTTTGTAAATGTTACAATGTACTCCCAGTACAACAACAATAATAATAATAATAAAAGAAAGAAAACTATAGACAGGGGTGAATTTGAACAAAGTATATTATATGAATTATGTAAATACCACAATGAAACCCTTCTGTACAATTAATTTTTGCTAATAATTTTTTTTAAAAAAACCAAAAGGACAACCACTAGGAATAATTAAAAAGAACATAAAGAACTTGCCTAGCATTTGATAGTACTCAGATTCCCAACACAACAACAGAAAAAAAGGAAAGATGAAGAAGGGAAGGAGAGAGGAAGGGAGGGAGGGAGGGAGGGAGGGAGGAAGGAAGGAAGGAAGGAAGGAAGGAAAGAAAGAAAGATCAATAAATGTCGGCTGGGAAGGCAAAATGATGCAGTCATGTTGGAAAATATCTTCACAATTCCTCAAGCTAAACTTACAGATAACACATCACTGAGCACAAAATCACTGAAAAATGAAAAAATATGTCGACATGAAATACTGTATACTACAGTTCATAGCAGTATCCCTAAGAGCCTAACATAAGCAACAACACAAATGCTGATTAATTCGATGGATAATAAATATGGTACAGCCGTACAATATTCAGACATACAAGGGAACTTTCATGGAAAAAAAATTTTTTGTGGGCGGAGGGTTGTTCATCTGTTTTTTGGCAATACTGGTGGCTAACCCTGGAGCTTTGCACACCTGAGCCATGCCTCCAACCCTTTTTACTGTAGTTATTTTTTCAGACAGGGCCTTGTCTTTTGTTATTAATAATCCTCCCACATACAGAAAGTACACATTCCTCCTCTCCAAATAAAAAACTCACTCTAGCCAAGCACTGGTAGACCAAATCTACAGTCTTAGCCACTTGGGAGACAGAAATCAGGAAGATCACGGTCCTAGGCCAACCTGGGCAAAAAGTTCCTGCAACCCCCATCTCAATGAATGGCTGGGCGCAGTGGTACACATCTGACAACCCAGCTATGTGGTGAAGGACAAATAGGAAAATCAAGTTCCAGGTTCACCTGAACAACTGTTTACTTAAGTCCCTTCTGTACCAATAAATGTTCACCATCTGTCCTTTCTTCCATAATATCTTTCTGCTATATCACCTGTTAAGTGGGCTCTTTAACAAATCCTGTTGGTCACAAATTTGAAATTTCTTATTATGATATCCAGTTTTACACAGTTTTTAACTAAACATGAGCTATAGATGATTTTATGTGCTGGGGAGGGGTATGTGTAATACTGGGGTTTGAACTCAGGGATTTATGCTTTCTAGGCAGGAGCTCTTACCACATGAGCCACACTCCCAGCACTTTTTGCTCTGGTTATTTTGGAGATAGGGTCTCGCTTTTTGCCCAGACCGATCCTATTTTTATGCTTCCTTTTGTACTTCAGATGACAGGTGTACACTACCAACGCCAGCTTCTTTCCATTGAGATGGGGGTCTCATGAACTGTTTTTGCCCAGTCTCACCTAGAACTGCAGTCCTCCTAATCTCAGCCTCCCACGTAGCTTTGGATGACGGAGTTAAGCCACCAGCACCCAGCTTATAGATTTCTATTATTGATCTATGTGCTTTTTGGAGAAAGACAAATTCAGAAACAGGTGACAACTGTATTTACCTCCAGGGAATCAGAACATTTTTTAATCAGGTTTCTAAAAGTCTGCGGGCTTAAGCTACTGCAGCTGATTTCCTCTTTAATTTAAACTGAGCAAAAAATTTAAGCAAATATGAAGAATTTTTTGTTGTTCTTTTCTCTGTTTTCAAGTATAGTTACACATGTGTAACATAGGAAACTATGATCTAAAAGCCTTCTATGTGTGTCTCTTTTAGAATTATTAATGTTTCTTTCAGGTTAGACCATGCATAATATAGTGTGAACAGCAAAAAGGACTGTTTTCTGGATTAAGTTATTATCTACTGAACCTAAACATTTGAAAACATTTAATAGTTCTATATAATTTCAATAAAGTTAATTTGTCATGGTTTATGGGCATAACCAACACTAGTGTACTGAGTGTTTCTTCTATACCTATAACTTTCAATCTTCTGTACATTAATTCAAATACCTCTATCATTAGTGTCAAGTCCACATTTTCTTCACTTTGCATTGGTTAGGTAAATCTGTTTGAAGCATCTCATTAAAATATAATTTGAGACTCTTTCCTTTCATTTAAATTTATTAAAATGCAAGAAAATATTTCATCTATGTTTCATGTGTTTACTTTAGTGACAGAAAATTTATACCTTGCATACAGGACTTTGATTCAGACATTTATCATCCTAGGTCTTCAATTTTCTCAAATGTAAAAGCTTAGGCTACATGTTAGAGGATTCCTAAAGTTTCTTTCTCCTCTAAAGTGACTAGTTAATCAACCTAGACTCTGTTGTAGCTCCACTAAAATGGTACTTTTTTCCCACGGGACTGGGGCTTGAACTTTGGGCTTTGCACTTGCAAAGCAGACACGCTACCACTTGATCCACACTCCAGTCCATTTTGCTGTTTATTTTGGTAATGGAGTCTTGAGAACAATTGCCTGGCTGGCCTCACACTGTGATCCTTCTGGTATCAGCCTCCTAAATAGCTAAGATTACAGGACCTGCACCAGGCTAAAATGTTACAGTTTTGAGAATTCATGGTCTTCAAATGTTTTGGTGGGTCTTTTCAACAAAATTAAAATTCACATCTTAAACTAGAAAAAACCCACAGAAGTACACACATTGCATATATCATAAACTTACATAAAAAGGTTTCTCAAAATAATACTTAACTTCTATGTTTTCTCAGATATTTTCTCTGCTTTTCCATCATTTTTTAAATATTGTGATATCTTGCTACCATGAATTCACAATTCCTTAGTGGGTCAAGAATGGAACTTGGAAAACATTCATAAAGAAATCTTAGAGCTAATTCATTGGACAGAATTTCAAAGGTACTTAGTACTTACTAGAGGTTTTATTGTTTTAATTAAATTTGAATTATGAAATTGGTAGAGCTCCATACACACAGGTGATATATTATGTTATAAAAGAAACAAAGAAAATGCTTACCGCTTATTGCAGTGGAGATCATAAATTGCTGTTTTGAACTGAATAGATTTGACCATCTCCCCAGTACGCAGTGAATATAGATCCACACAACAGTAAGGTGTGGTTGTGCTAAAAAAGAGAGAGAGAGAGAAAAAAGCTATTATTTTATAAAAAAGAGAAAGAACATACACTTTCTTAGTATCAGAACTCCATACATTCTGATACAGTGAATGGATGTGAACATGATAAACATTTAACCAGATTTAAACATTACATGATATACACATATATCAAACATCACGTTACCCCATTAATATGTATAATATTCAAGTTTTTATAGCTACATAAAAAAGAAAGTACGAAAAGCCAAATGCTAAATAATATGAAAATAGAATGGAAATGAAAATGAACCAAGAATGAGTAAGCCTCAGGTATGTAAATTATAACATGGCTCTGTGAAAAGATCAACGAATCCCTAACTCTAGTAGAGATGCTCAAGAAAAAATAATAAAGAAAAGATAAATATAAACAAGGAAACAGACCAGGTGTGGTAGCTCAAGCCCCTAATCTAAGCTACTTGGGAGGTAGAGATGAGGAGGATCACTCTAACCTGAGGTCAGCCTGAGAAAAAGACCCCATCTCAATGAGTGGCTGGGGACAGTGGTAGACATCTATAATCCTAGTTATGTGGGGAAAATTGCTGTCCTGACTGCCCTGGGAATAAGACAAGAATCTATTTCAAAAATAACTAATGCAAAAAGGTCTGGCAGAGTGAATCAAGTGGTAGAACCCCTGTGTAGCAAGAATGAGGCCTTCAATCCTATCCCTAGTATAACCAAAACAAAAAACAACAAAAAAAGAATATTCAGGTGGCACAAACAAATGCCTTGACTTGCACAAACTGTATGTAGAGAGTCCTGAAGTGAACTCACAGTTGTGTGGTGAACTGACTTCGATTAGTTATAAAACAAATAAGGCAGTCATTGGACAAAACTAAGCTAAAGTATCATACACCAAAAATAACTAATAGGGAAACTATATAGTGTCTGGACAAATAATAGAAGAAGAGTATGCAAACTATTTCTTAAACTGGAAGAAGACTATTACAGAATTAATTAAATGTAATACTGTACTTTTAACAGATATAAGAAAATAGAAACAGCAAAATCCATGTTGTAAGGAAATATTTGCAAAACTGACTGACAGAGGGTTTATGTGCAAATATAACAAAAATCTGTAACTAAGTAACAATGACATATTCAAACTTTTAAAAATGCACGTAATAACAAAGAAGACATATAGATAGCAATTAATCACATAAGATATTCACATGACTAATTATCAGAGAGATGAAAATTGAAGCCACTAAGGGATACCATTACACACACTGGAATGAATAAAAATGTGAAACTGGACAATACACAGCATTGGTAAGAGTGTAAGAAATTGAATGTTACTGCACAATTGTTAGAATCACTTTGAAAAAACAGATTACCACTTTAAAAAAGGAAGCATAACATTCCCATGTGTCATAACTAAGTGTATTATTATTATCAACAAAAACAAAAGCTAGAAACAATTAAATGGATACTAATAGATAGTGATATGGGATCCAATGGAATAGTATTCATCAATTAAAAAGCTGTTTATAAAAACAACAACATAAATGAATCTCAAAATCATGACGCAATTGAAGGGGGCAGGTAAACAATTATGAGCCAAAAAATAAAAAGTTTAAGCTGTATTTCTTTAAAAGGAAAAATGTTTAAACTATGAATACAGAAGGCAAGCATCAATAAGAAACCACTGAACATTTTCATCTAAAAGAACCTACAGTCATAAAATACCCTAGTGAAACTAAAATAATTATAAATCCTAAACCCTTTTTGAATTCTGAATAATCTTGTATGTCATAAATTCAGGCCTAAATACTGCAATTCACATTAAATTCAGAAAACCCATCATCCTATTCCCCATAAAATTTCTTACGCATTCTCCTTTTACTAATGAATGAGGAGGCTGAGTTTTCAATATAACCAAACATTGAGTCATCGGCACTTGTCATGCCAATGTTACAACACTGATGATAGTTCTTTTTAACCATTAAGTAATTAATCCAGAGGCATCAGAAATACTTTATTGGTGAGGGGTGGATACTAAGTACGGAGCTACTACTTGAGCCATACCCACAGCCCAAGAACTGACTTCATGTGGCCTTCATTTTAAAAACTATATGAAATGATGGAAATATTATGTACTCATGTATGAAATGAAAAAATGAGATCTGCTGAAACTATTTTAGGAATGGAGGGAGGGGACATAAAGGACAATGATGGAGGAAGTGAATTTAACTAATATATATTGTAAGCACTTTTATAAATGTCACAATGTACCCCCAGTACAACAATAATATAATTTTAAATTTTTAATAAATAAAGAAGTTAAAGAGTACAGGTACTGGACACAAGGGAAAACGAAAGCACTAAGGTACCACTACACACCTATAAGGGAATTAGTGAAAATAAGTGTTGGTAAAGAAGAGGAAAAATTGAACGTCTCACTCCTTGCTGGTGGGACTTTAAAATAGAACAGGATCACAATCCAGTGGACCATGCATAAAGTGAGACCCTATCTCAAAAAATAACCAACACACAAAAAAAGGGCTGATAAAATGGCTCAAGTGGTAAAAAGTCTGCTAGCAAACACAAGGCTTTCGGTTACACCCCCAGTATTGATCCCTCCAAAAAGAGAATATAAAAAAAAAAATTAAGAGAATACTAGTAGAAAGTAATTGTGTTTCAAAAGAAAGTCAGGCTGTACTTACAGAGGAATTTGTTTTCATACAAATTCCTCTGGATTGGAATTCAAGGATATAGAAGAAAGAACAAGGATATAGAAGGATTCTATAGGATTCAAGGATATAGAAGAAAGAACAAAAGAACTGAACACCAGCAGAGAAACATGGTGGGTTAGGAGGAGGACCAAATGATCTCACTTACATGAGAATAGAGAGAACAAAGAAAAGAACTAAAACCCACCATGCGGAGGCACAGGCAATCACATCTCACACAATATATGCAACACTGCAAAACTGCAAAAAAGGACTGTAGTAGCAGTTCTAAAAAGAAAACTGTAAAATAATTATTTCTGTACACATTCAATTTTCTATCATCATATAGGCAGGTAGCATCTTGGTACCAAAAGTTGACCCCAGAATATTCTTTGTGTTTCTAACTTTCCTAATCAATTGACCAAATAAAGTATGGTTGTCTACAACCTAATAGGTGAAATTCCACTGCGAAGACCTATTTTATTTTATTTTATTTTATTTTATTTATTTGGTAGAATTGGAGTTTGAACTCAGGGCCTTCCACATGCTGGCAGGCAGGCGCTCTACCACTTGTACCAAGCCTCCTGCCCTACGGTTTTAGTAATCAAAGCTAGGAACATGCTTGCTTAAGGAAAGGAACCCAAGATAAGGAGCCCGTGATATGGAGCCAGGACCCTGAACCATAGGTATTATGATAATGAAGGCCTGTTTATTATGTTAAATCTGAACTTACCCCACAACAAAAGAGGGAAAACCCATCTAATCTCACTCATTTGCACAAAACTCTCTTTTCCCTCCCTCCCTCCCCCCCCCTCCCCTACCCCACCCAAGGCAAGTGCTGTATCCCTTGAACTTTGTCCCCAGTCCTTCATGTTTTTATTATGGGTTTGATATGGTCTTGCTAACTTTGCCCAGGCTGGCCACAAACTGATGGTCCTCCTGTCTCTGCTGGAACTATAGGTGTGCATCACCACACTTTACATACGTGGATTCATTACAGTCTCTATTGCAGACCCAGAAGAGCTTCTTAATGGCATAAAGCTTGAGTCCTTCTGTCACTATGCTACAGTAAACCCCAAGTATATGGTTCCAAGGAGACTACACACATGCTAAGGATGAAGTTCAGCACTGTACTGAACTGCTTGATTCTTTTTTATTTTTGGTGGAGTTTGAACTCAGGGCTTTGTGTTTACAAAGCAGGCGCTCCACCACTTGACCCACACCTCCAGTCCATTTTGCTCTGGTTATTTTAGCAATGGGGTCTCCCATATGATTTGCTCCAGGTGGTCTGGAACTGTGATTCCCCTGATTTCAGCCTCCCAAGTAGCAAGGATTACAGGCATGAGCCACCATCATTTTCCTTACTGCCATCCAACTTCCACTAAAGACATGCTGCCTTTCAAGAAATCTAAGATTTTCACTTTATCACTTAAGCTCCTTCCATGCTATTTACCTTACTTTTCAGGCAACATTTGCTTTCTGAAAGGCAGATTTTCACAAAATTAAGGATAGAGAAACGTTCAGCAGATCACACAATCATTTAAACACAATGCAAGAATGACAGATAGTTTCTCCACATCAACTGAGCTGCGTAATACAGCTCGTTTTGAGCCCAGCAACCATGAGACCCTGAGTTAAATACCCAGAAATGAAAAAAAAAATTCTTGTTTTTCCAATTTTTTTTTTATTTATTTTGTACTGCAATTGATCAAAGTAGTGTGTAATCTGCAAACAGCATGAGCTGCCTGTACTTCAAATATAGTCAATGACTATATTTGATGAGAAGACAAAGTTTTCAATGTAACAAAACTTAGGATCTCATTTGTACCTGCTATGTTAATCTAATTTATTCAAGTAATTGTTTAAAGAAGTGTATGGAAAATTATCATTTTTGTTTATGTAAATCATTTTTAACTTTAGCTATATAATATATGCTGAAACAAAATCTACTTAAGTAGACTTATGTTACTCAATACTTCTGCAAAACACTAACATTTTTGGTATCTAACTCACTTTTATTATGATAGTAGAGTCAAGTTTCCAAAATAATAAAATGGACAAGGTTACTGAGCATTAAGCAGTTTAGTTTTATAATTATTTAATTATTATTCATTCATTTATTTATGGGGTGCTGGGAATTGAACCCATGGCTAAGCATGCTAGGCAAGTACTCTAACACTGAACTAGACTCATAGCACACATTAACTAATTTTAATCAAAAGTTATTTTAATTTTTTAAGTCCTATCAGTAATTTGCTGCTAATGAACTGAGGTTAACCAGTTAAAAGAAATAA